TTACTCCAAAGGACAGATCCACCAGACAGAAAATAAGTAAGGACACAGAGGCACTGAACAACACACTAGAACAGATGGACCTAACAGACATCTATAGAACTCTACACCCAAAAGCAACAGGATACACATTCTTCTCAAGTGCACATGGAACATTCTCCAGAATAGACCACATACTGGGCCACAAAAAGAGCCTCAGTAAATTGAAAAATATTGAAATTCTACTAACCAACTTCTGAGATTACTAGAAAGGTCTAAAACTAGAAACAAATTGTACTAAGAAAGCAAAAAGGCTCACAAACACATGGAGGCTTAACAACATGTTCCTAAATAATCAATGGATCTACCAAATTAAAATGGAGATCCAGCAATATATGGAAACAAATGACAACAACAACACAAAGCCCCAACTTCTGTGGGACACAGCAAAAGCAGTTGTAAGAGCAAAGTATATAGCAATCCAGGCATATTTAAAGAAGGAAGAGCAATCCCAAATGCATAGTCTAATGTCACAATTATTGAAATTGGAAAAAGAAGAACAAATGAGGTCTAAGGTCAGCAGATGGAGGACATAATAAAGATCAGAGAATAAATAAATAAAATTGAGAAGAATAAAACAATAGCAAAAATCAATGAAACCAAGAGCTGGTTCTTTGAGAAAATAAACAAATCTAGCCAGACTTATTAAGAGAAAAAGAGAGTCAACACACATCAACAGAATCAGAAATGAGAAAGGAAAAATCATGACGGACACCACAGAAACACAAAGAATTATTACAGAATACTATGAAAACCTATATGATAACAAGCTGGAAAACCTAGAAGAAATGGACAACTTCCTAGAAAAATACAACCTTCCAAGACTGACCCAGAAAGAAACAGAAAATCTAAATAGACCAATTACCAGCAATGAAATTGAATTGGGAATCAAAAAACTACCTAAGAACAAAACTTTTGGGCCAGATGGACTTACCTTGGAATTTTATCAGACATACAGAGAAGACATAACACCCATTCTCCTTAAAAAGTTTTCCAAAAAATAGAAGGGGAGGGAATACTCCCAAACTCATTCTATGAAGCCAACATCACCCCAATCCCAAAACCAGGCAAAGACCTCACCAAAAAAGAAAATTACAGACCAATATCCCTGATAAACACAGATGCAAAAATACTCAACAAAATATTAGCAAACACCTTGTACTGTTCACCATGTAAGAATTTATTCACTATGTAAGAATTCGTTCACCATGTAAGAACTTGTTTGTTATGCTTCAGAAGATTGGAGACTGACGAGATTTAGACTTGAGATGGATTAATGATTGTACATTGAGCACTGACCCCCCTATACTGAATTTTATTGTTGTTAACAACCATTTGATCAATAAATATGAGAGATGCCCTCTCAAAAAAATTTAAAAAAATTAAAAATAAAAAATAAATTACCCCAAAGACAAGACAAGTAGCTCTCTGCAAATTGACTGCTTAGAATACCATCTAGAGCAGATGGTATTGGATATGAACACAAATTTTCCCAAACCAGATAGACTTAGTGAAACAACTTCTGTTCGTTGCCATTGATGAATATTACAGTAGTATGGAACTTCTGTTATATCACTTACGTGAAGTTCATGATGGAATTTCAGAGCTCTTATGTAAGATCTTACTGGCTACTAGAATTTTTCTTTTGGAGAATAGGGAAAATGTTAATTGTCCTCAAGATTATTCAAAATATTCAAGCTAGATGCGGATCTAGATTAATCTTTGTATCAAACACAGAGTACATACAGTCTTCAGATTTTCATTTCAGATTATCTTGGACAACTTTTTCAAGGATACAAATATGGTCTGTAGATTAAAATTGGTAAATTTGTGTCTTAAGTCTCTTAATCTATAAATCTTTCTTTTTTGGTGAATATTGAATAAATCTGTTGGTTGTCTTTGGAAAAAAAAAATATTAGCAAACAAAATTCAAAAATACATGTAGAGGATCATTCAACATGACCAAGTGGGATTCATCACAGGGATGCAAGGATGGTACAACATTCGAAAATCTATCAACGTCATCTACCACATCAACAAAAAGAAATACAAAAACCACATGATCATCTCCATAGATGCTGAAAAAGCATTTGACAAAATTCAACATCCATGCATGATAAAAACTCTAAAAAAAATGGGTATAGAGGGCAAGTACCTCAACATAATAAAGGCCATATATGATAAACCCACAGCTTACATCATACTGAACAGCAAGAAGCTGAAAGCTTTTCCTCTAAGATCAGGAATAAGGCAGATGCCCACTCTCCCCACTTTTATTCAACATAGTACTGGAGGTCCTAGCCATGGCAATTAGACAAAACAAAGAAATACAAGGAATCCAGATTGGTAAAGAAGTCAAACTATCACCATTTGCAGATGACATAATATTGTACATAAAAAATCCTAAAGAATCCACCCCAAAACTACTAGAACTAATATCATAATTCAGCAAAGTTGAAGATACAAAATTAACACACAGAAATCTGTGGCTTTCCTATACACTAACAATGAACTAACAGAAAGAAAATCAGGAAAGCACTTCCATTTACAATTCTATCAAAAAGAATAAAGTACCTAGGAATAAACCTAACCAAGAAAGTGAAAGACCTATACCCTGAAAACTACAAGACACTCAAGAGAAATTAAACAGGTCACTAAGAAATGGAAACTCATCCCATGCTCCTGGCTAGGCAGAATTAATATCGTCAAAATGGCCATCCTGCCCAAAGCAATATACAGATTTGATGCAATCCCTATCAAACTACCAACAGCATTCTTCAACAAACTGGAACAAATAGTTCTAAAATTCATATGGAACCACCAAAGACCCCAAATAGCCAAAGCAGTCCTGAGGAGGAAGAATAAAGTTGGGGGGATCTTGCTCCCCAACTTCAAGCTTTACTACAAAGCCACAGTAAGGAAGACAATTTGGTACTGTCACAAGAACAGACCCACAGACCAGTGGAACAGAATAGAGACTCCAGATATTAACTGAAACGTATATAGTCAATTAATACACAATAAAGGAGCCATGGACATACAATGGGGAAATGACAGCCTCTTCAACATTTGGTGTTGGCAAAACTGGACACATACATGTAAGAAAATGAAACTGGATCACTGTCTAACCCCATACACAAAAGTAAATTCGAAATGGATCAAAGACCTGAATGTAAGTCATGAAACCATAAATCTCTTAGAAAAAATCATTGGGAAAAATCTCTTGGACATAAATATGAGCAATTTCTTCATGAACATATCTCCCTGGGCAATGGGAACAAAAGCAAAAATGAACAAGTGGGACTATATCAAGCTGAAAAGCTTCTGTACAGCAAAGGACACCATCAATAGAACAAAAAGGTATCCTACAGTATGGGAGAATATATTCATAAATGACATATCCGATAAGGGGTTGACATCCAAATTATATAAAGAGCTCATGCACCTCAACAAACAAAAAGCAAATAAGCCAATTAAACAATGGGCAGAGAAGGTGAACAGACAGTTCTCCAAAGAAGAAATTCAGATGGCCAACAGACACATGAAAAGATACTCCACATCGCTAGTCACCAAAGAAATGCAAATTAAAACCACAATGAGATATCACCTCACACCATTAAGGATCACCACCATCCAAAAGACAAACAACAACAAATGTTGGCGAGGTTGTGGAGAAAGGGGAACCCTCCTACACTGCTGGTGGGAATGTAAATTAGTTCAGCCATTGTGGAAAGCAGTATGGAGGTTCCTCAAAAAGCTCAAAATAGAAGTACCACTTGACCAAGGAATTCCACTTCTAGGAATTTACCCTAAGAATACAGCACCCAGTTTGAAAAGGACACATGCACCCCTATGTTTATCACAGCACTATTTACATTAGCCAAGAAATAGAAGCATCCTAAGTGTCCATCAGTAAATGAATGGATAAAGAGCATGTGGTACATATACACAATGGAATATTATTCAGCCATAGGAAGAAAACAAATCGTAACATTTGCAACAACTTGGATGGATCTAGAGGGTATTATGGTCAGTGAAATAAGCCAGGTGGAGAAAGACAAGTACCAAATGATTTCACTCATATGTGGAGTATAAGAACAAAGGAAAACTGAAGGAACAAAACAGCAGCAGAATCACAGAATCGAAGAATGGACTAACAGTTACTAAATGGAAAGGGACTGGGGAGGATGGGTGGGAAGAAAGGGATAAGGAGGGGAAAAAGAAAGGGGGATTACGAGTAGCATGTACAATGTGGGGGGGGGCATGGGGAGGGCTGTAGAACACAGAGAAAACAAGTAGTGCTTCTACAGCATCTTACTATGCTGATGGACAGTGACTGTAATGGAGGTTGTGGGGGGGACTTGGTGAAGGGGGGAGCCTAGTAAACATAATGTTCCTCATGTAATTGTAGATTAATGGTAGCAAAATAAAATTTTTTTTAAATGCAAAAAAAGACACCATATACTCATTAAAGAAGCAGTTTATGTTTCTGGGAAAAAAGTCGATGTAACAGCACAACTCTCAGAATACAGTAAGCATAGATATAAATAGGCATTATTAGTTATAAAGTCTGCCAAGTGTAAGATTTTATGTTAACTGTATACACCCCTTTTAAACAGGATTTGTGTAAATGATGTTCACATGTCCAACTGCTGTGTTCAACAGTTTCCGTTTCCATGACTTACTGGTGGTAATTTACAAAGGGTAAAATCAAATCATGTGGAGGAAAAAATTAATTCATTTAAAAATGTTTAATCTCAGGAAGAGGGAAGTGACATGTACAGTAAGGAAATACACAAGTCTGAGATGTGGAAGAAATAGGAATTTAGTCAACTAAACAAATGAACCTGACAAGTAATAAAAAGTAACAAAAACATAAATCTAATTATAGGTAATAGTAGTATAGAAAAAATAGATATTATTAAAGGAGAGGAATAAAAATCTTCAAAGACATAATTACTCACATATCTGTGTGGTCGAATGCTAGATATTCCTCTATTCCTTCAGAAAAGATTACACAGTCTTCTTCTCTTTCTATAGAACACAAGCCATGGGATTTGGCAGTGGAAGATGGTTTATTGGTGTAAGATGAAAGATGTAATTTCTTTCCCCTAATACCAAATCTGCCAGAGGAAAAAACCCAAATATTTATTATGAACAACATAAGCAGTTCTTAGAGCAACTCAGTCACATTCTTTTCAGCTCAAAACCCTGGTGATACTTTCCTGAACTACTGTAAGCCTTAATATCTATTATTTCTCAGTACAGGAAGAATAAATACTAGCCATAGACCTACTCTGCTCAGGTGTATTTTGCAGTATCAAATACTGCTTGCTGTCTTCAGAGATGCAACAGTTACGGCTATAAAATAAGTTTTTGTTTTAAATCTAAGAATATTTACATTCATAGTTACATCTTTAAGATACCTCAAGAGGTTATATGTTTATTTCAATAACTCCATCATTGTTCAAATTGTGTGCTCCTTAAGGGCAGAAATCTTCTCGTTTACAATTAAATTTCTTTTTCTGCTAAGGTAATGAATATGTGGTGACTCACTCATTTCAGCAGATTTATTTTGGAGAAAGTCAAGTATAAGCAATAAAATTTTCAAAAATAGCTCTCAGCTTAACTAAACATTAAATATAAGCAATGTATACTTTGTGTTATTCTTTATGCATTTTTGTACCTTAAGTATTTGCTTTTAATGGCACTTTTCACCAAGGCTAGCGGGAAAATCTCACTGGAAGACATTTTGGAAATACATTACTAGAAGCCTTAAAAAAAAACATTGATTCAATGCTTTCACTTATAGGGATTTCCTTTAAGGATATGGCCTACAAGATTTAGCTATAAAAATTATCATTGCGGAACTGTTTGTAATTGCCAAAAATCAAAACTAACCCAGCTATTTCAAAACATAGGATTGGGGGTTGATTGTTTAAATAATGGTATATTCATGCAATAGAATACTATGGTCATTAATGTTGTAGGAAAAATATGGAAGAGACCCACAATAAAATGACAAGTATAAAAAGACTATAAAATATGTACAGTAATCACAAAAGTATATATATATGCGGCAGAGAATGCTGGATGTCCCCCAGCATCTATTCTCCCCTTCTTTCTTAGTGAATCATGCCAATTTAATTCAGGAGAGCAATACACTGTCCTTGAAGACTGAATTTCCCACTACCCTACAGCCAGATGTAGCCAATGAGATATGAGCAGAATTGTTATATGGATCTCTGGGAAGGCTGTTTAAGTAGAACTGACTTCTATAATGGGTGCCCTTTTGCCCTTCTGCTACCTAGAAAGTGAATGTCATGTTTGGAACTTTGTCTGCTATCTTGGACCATGAGGAAAACTTCAGGAAAAACGACATAGGGTAGCATGGTGTAGCAAAAAGATGAAAGGAGTCAGATGGACTCAAAAACACCATGCCTTCATTATGCTATCTTTAGATACACCTCTTCCTGACTTCTTTTAAAAGAGAAATAAACTTCTTTGTTATGTAAGCTATTAAATAAAGTGTAGGGTTCATAGGAAGTGGTTGGAAAGGTATGTGGCTAGACTGGAGTACTTTGTGTGGTAACTTGGGCTAATTGAAAGCAAAGGAAAGGAAAGTTTTTAAGGGAATGACAAGATCCTTGCTTTAGAAGATCACTGCTGTGTGATAAAAGGACAGTGTAGTTAGGAGACTAGTCAAAAGATGAAATAAGAGCTGGTAAGCTGATGAGAACCTGGGCCAGGGCAGGAGGCATGGGGATGGAGAGATAGTAAAAAAAGAGATATACAGTTTAGAGAACAACACATCTAAATCAGCTGGTATTACTGTTTATAAAAGTTTCTTAATTTGGGGGCATTACTATTAGCAGACATAATGTAGGTGGGGGGGCACGGGGAGGGTTGTACAACACAGAGAGGACAAGTAGTGATTCTACAGCATCTTACTACGCTGATGGACAGTGACTGTAATGAGGTATGTTGGGGGGACTTGGTGATGGGGGGAGTCTAGTAAATATATTGTTCTTCCTGTAATTGTAGATTAATGATACAAAAAAAATATTTCTTAATTTGATGTCAGCATGTTTTTTTGTACACACAGGCAAGTTTATACTAAAATTTATATGCATGGGAAAAGGCCCTAAGGATAGTAAAAAAAATTTTGAAAAATAATTTGTGAGGGAAGAATCACTTTCCAATATTAAGGCTTACTACATAACTGCAGTAATCAAAAAGGTATGGTTCTGGCAGAAGGATAGATCAAAGATACAGGACACAGAACTCAGAAATGGAGCCTCACAACTGAGCCCAATTAATTTCAGACAAGGGTGAAAAAGCAATTCAGTGGAGGAGGGATATTTTTTAAATAAAGTGATGGAGCAATTGGACATCCATAGGCCAAAAAAATGAACCTTGACTTAAAAGTCTCACATTTTTTGACAAAGATAAACTCAGAATGGATCACAGACTTGAATGAAAAAAATGTAACACCATAAAAGTTTTAGAAAAGAATGTAGGAGAAAATCTTTAGGACCTAGGACTAGGTAGAGAGTTCTTAGATTTTATACCAAAAAACCCCCAAAATCAAAAACCAAAAACAAAACCCCCAAACAAACAAAAAAAACTCACAATTCATAAGATATAAAATGGTAAGTTAAGACTTCAACAAAATAAAAAACTTTAGCTCTGAAAAAGAGCCTGTTAAAAGAATTAAAAGACAAAATATAGAGTTGGAGAAAATATTTAAATCACATGTCCAACAAAGGCCTATGTAGAATACATAAAAAAAACTGAAAACTCAATAGTAAAAGGCCTATCAAATTAGAAAGTGGGCAAAACACACGAACAGACATTTCACTGAAGAGGATACACAGACAGCAAACACAAGAAAAGATGTTCAAATAATTTTTAGGAAATTCAAATGAAAAACAATGAGATATCACCACCTACCTAACCGAATAGCTAAAATGAAAAACAGATCTAACACCAAATGCTGGCTAAGACTTAGTGAAACTCAATCATATATACATTGCTGGTGAGAATGTAAAATGGTACAATCATTGTGTAAAAGACTTGGGCAGTTCCTTTCAAAACTAAAAATGGGCTTGCTAAACCACCCAGCAATTACATGCTTGAACTTTATCTCAGACTTATATTCATACAAACTTACATGAATGTAAAGAACATATATATATATATATTATATATATGAAATATATAAAAACATACAACAAAAATATAAACACAAAAACATACATATATAAAATATATATTCATGTAAATATATTCTTGTACAAACCTTTACATGACTGTAAAGGACATATGAAGTATATAAAAACATATAAAATATACTTTACATTCATGTACTATGTATATGGAATAGAAGAAAAAAGCCAATCTCAAAAGGACACACAATGCAGGATTCCATTTATGTAACATTCATGAAATAACATAATTATATAGATGTAGAATAGATTAGTGGTTAACAAAGATTAGGGAAAGGGGGGAGAGGGGAGAGAGATGGGTGTGGCTATAAAGGGGTAACAGCAGAGAGTCTTGTGGTGATGGTACTATCTAGTATTTTGATGGTTGGCAGTGGTGACAGAAGTTTTACGTAGTACAACTGCGTAGAGCTATCCATATACATACACACAAATGAAATCTGATTCAGTTCTATGGATTGTACCAAAAAAGGTTTCTAAATTTGAGATTTAATTTTTTTTTCACTGAAGTCTGTTCTGAAATTTTAAAATAATAATTCCCAAATTCCAGTCAACAGATTTGTGCCAGTCCCTGACAAAATTTTTACTGATCTATACCAAAATGAACAAAATAAGGACAATACCCAGGAAGAATGCCAAATATCCCGTCTTGAAAAGTACTGTCCTTATTTTGAGATTATGTACTTCATAATTTTTTTTAATATGTATTTTCTTTTATGAGTGTTTTTTTACCATGATAAAAGTTGTCAAACACTGCATACCTAGCATTCCATTTGTTATAGTCTTATTGTACTTGTATGACTAACTTGTATTATTAACTTGTAATTTGTATCATTAACCAGTCATTTTTTTAGTCAGTGATATCTAAAGGAATTACTTGTTTTGAGAAAAAAAGGCCTTTCTAAAAAGGTATAGGCCTTTTGTTAGTAGAAAAATTTCAATTTGGTGGGAAGGAAACATGTTCCCATTTCCACTAAAGCTGTAGCAAAAACATCACTGTACATCATGAAACTGTCTCTGCAAATGTTATTTCTAACAAAGGAACATTTTAAATCACCAGACTTCAGAGAATATTATGTCTGGAAAACTTTTTTTTTTAATGTTTGTAATTTTTTTCCTTACTTGAAGAATACCAGTGGTCTTACCTAATAGTGTACTGCTCTGGTAGTAATACTTAAGCTGTGATCTGTTTTCTTGTGAGAGGAAAAAAAAATCATTGGTACTTTATTCTTCTTGCACATGCATGGAGGATAAAATGCCTTTTCTAGGTTTCTTGTTCAAACAAAGAGTTTAATTTGAAGCCATCCCATCCAGGTGTAGGCCTTAGGAAAAGGAATTCGGCAGCCTTCACGGAGGCCCTTCAGGGTTGCTAGAAGGAGCAAGTGGCTAAGAACCCTCCTTTCTGACTAGGATCTGAAAAGTAGTTAAACACTCTCAACACCGTTTCAGACCAACCTTATCTCCCAGTGGACCTCTAGAAATGACAGAAGTAGAGGAAATGTACATAAAGGTGTGATCTCATGATGCCAAAAAGAAAACATTAAGGTAGTACATTGGAAAGGAAATATGATTGTGAAATACCCTCCCAATAGAAGAACTGAGAAGAGTATCTCCATGGCTTTGGAGAGCTTCAGAAAGCTCTTTATAAATGTCTAAAAATTTTCTGATTTGTAATTACTTTGAATAGCTCTTGTATTTACGACAGTTATAAAAAAAATCAGAGAAAATGAAAGCAAAAGGTATTTGTAATGAGTGACATGAGGGAGGTGGGCTTCTGATAAATAGCACACATATATATATATCACTTTACTTAAATTGTGGTAAAAATATAACATTAAATACCATCTTGAACATTTTAAACTGTACACTTTAGTAGTGTTAAGTATATTCACATTATTGTGCAGATATCTAGAACTTTTTCATTTTGTAAAACTGAAACTCTAATACCCATTAAATACTAATTGCCCCTCTCCTTTTCCTAACGCCCTTTGACAACTGCCTTTCTACTTTCTGTTTCTATGATTCTGGTTAATTTAGATACTTAATATGAGTGGAATCATATTCACTTTGTTCCTGGCTTATTTTATTGTGCACAGTGTCTTTGAAGTTCACCCATACTGTAGCATGACAGGATTTCCTTCTTTTTTTAAGGCTGTTTAATCTATTTTATGTATATGCCACACTTTCTTTATCATTTATCTGTCTGTGGACATTTGGATTGCCTCTATCTAATGCTGCAATGCACATGTGTGTGCAGATATTTCTCTTAGATCCTGCTTTCAGTTTTTTTGTACATATACCTAGGAGTAGGATTTTTGGATCATATGGTAAGTCTATTTTTATATTTGAAGGACCTTCCATACCGTTTTCCCTAATAGTTGTACCATTTCACATTCCACCAACAAAGCACAAGTGTTTCAGTTTCTCTACATCTTTCCAAAACTTGTTTTTTTCTGTTCCTTTGAGAGTGCCATCCTCATTGTTTTGATTTGTATTTCTCTTATTATTGGTGATGTTAAGCATCTTTTCATCAACAAATGCTTGTTGGCCATTTGTATGTCTTTGCAGAATTGTCTGTTCGAGTCCTTTGTCCACTTTTGAACTGGGTTCTTTTGTTGTTGTTGTTGAGTTATAGAAGTTCCTTATATATTCTGGATATTAACCACTTATCAGATACGTGTTTTGGAGATACTCCCCCCCATTCCACTGGTTGCCTTTTCACTCTGTTGATTGTTTTTTTTGATGCACAGAAATTTTAAGGTTTGATATAGTCCCATTTGTCTATTACTGCTTTTGTTACCTATGCTTTTGGTGTCATATCTAATAAATCATTGCCAAATCCAATGCCCTGAAGCTTTCCCTCCATGTTATAGTCTTAAGAGTTTTAGAGTTTTAGATCATATGTTTAGGTTTGTAATCCACTTGAGTTAATTCTGCATATGGTGTAAGGTAAGGGTCCAACTTCATTCTTTTGCATGCGGATACCCAGATTTTACAGCATCATGTTGGAAAGACTATCTTTTCCCCATTGTGTAGTTTCAGCACCTTTGTTGAAAAGCATTTAACCAAATATGCAAAGGTTTATCTCTGGGCTCTCTACTCTTTTAATAACTTTTTAAGGGTTATAATTATGCACCTAGTCATACACTTCAGCAATTTATTAGATAGTATAGTTAGTTAATTTTTGTTGAGGTATATATGTAGAGTAAGCATAGACAAACCCCTTAGGTTAACTTGAAGTGGTAGAGCGCATAGTTTTTTCAAGTAGAAATGTCCTCAAACTCATGTTTTCAAGGTCCTTTTTGGCATTTTTTTGGTCCTGTTTTCTCCTTACTCTGCAGCCATCTTCTGTTTAAGTTTTATGTTAATTGTTTTAAGTTTTGATGTAGACAACAAAATTTGTTTTGATTTATAACATTGTTTCGCAACTGTATCAATTTATACATTAAATAATTTTCATGTAGTTATATATATATGTATATATATATATATGAGTTGTTTTAATTTCATTTAAAAAAGCTGAATGCTAGCCATGTTCTAGGCACTGTGCTAAGGGTTAGAGATACAAAGAGAAAGATACTGTATTGTTTGTTATTTATTGTACTTTTCTGTGGTCCAAGAAGTCAAGAATAGAAGCTAGACCAAATACCTTCTTTAGTACATTTGAGATATGAAAGAAAGCCAGTGTGGGAGAATTAGTGAATGAGAAAGGGAATGACAGAAGATAAAAATATAGATGTAGGCTGGGGTCAGCTTATAATATAATTTTACATTTTTATGTTAAATTCAGTAGGAAACTATTAAAGATTTTTAAGTAGAAGACAGGATCAAATCTGAATTTTAAAAGAAAAATCTGATGTAATATGGAGGGACAAGAATGGACATAATTTGAAGTGATATTTTTGTAAGAAGTCTCAGTAGTTGATAAACTCTTACTTTATGGCAAACTTGATTTGTTAAACTAAAAAAGTCCAAATGAATTCATGACACATTTCCACACATCTTCTTAGGAAAAGTGGCAAAGGAGCAATAGCAATGCCACTTACATACTCTCATTACCCAGACTGTGTTCTTAGATACCATTAGCCTCTCCAAGAAACTAGGTCTTGAATGTCAGGTGATGGGCCTGCAACACCCTACTGTAACGAGAAAGCAAGGATACAGTCAAGACAAAAAGGAGTTAGCTTGACATGGCCAAGTTGTAACAATTTAAACATCATAATGACTATGGTTAATTAGAATACATAAATATTTTGAAATGCTATGAGTTCATAATGGTACTTAAGACAGAAAATATCAAGGATGGACTAAGTAGTAGTTATATAAAAGTAAATATCATGGATTATGTTTAATTTGTTACTACTTTCCATAAGCAGTGGTATGCTAATAAAACTTATTTGTTTCATCTAAGTGTCTATGTATAAAATATAGATAGGTATTTATCTGTACAGTAAAGAAAAGCAGTTATTGAAAATGGTATGTCAAACAGTCCAGAAAGGCAACACCAAAAATAAAAAGGGCTGGTCAGCAGTGGTGGTAGCAAGCAGACAGGAAAGAAGGAGGTCACAGCCTGCTGCAGAACCATGATTTAGCCAGATTTCCTAAAGAGGAACCACTACTCAGACTTGACTCATTATTTCCTTGGAGCTGAAATCTCTAAATGGGACTACTACTTATAATAATAAAATAATAAGATATATATAAAGTTTATACTAAGCTCAAGTAAATATATCTTAATGACAAGGTATGAGTTATGAAATTTTGGACAGTGAGAATTAGAGAATACATCATTTCTGTAGTAGACATTAGAATGTAAAATCTGAAATTTATATAAAAGGACTAAACTTTTTAAAAAGATTTATTAATATAATGAGGCTTAAATTTAAAAAGAAAGCTCAACTTAATGAACAGAAGCTTGAATTTAAATCACTTTGAGAAAAGCAGACAAATCCCATTCTCTGACTAAAAATCAGTTGATAACCCACATCTCATAACCTAACTGGCCTAAGACAGTAATGTTTTCCTTTGAGGTCTGAAGAAATTACAAACTAAAAAGACATCAAAAGTAAATATTCTTTTTTATTTGCATCAAAAGTGCAACCCTTAAAAGGTACCAAATAATTAAAACTATACTCTTAGGAAAAAGTATAGAAATAATTTTTTTAAAATTAAGGTATCATTGGTATACACTCTTACAAAGGTTTCACAGGAAAAACAATGTGGTTACTACATTCACCCTTATTATCGAGTCTCCCCATAACCCATTGCAGTCACTGTCCATCAGTGTAATAAGATGCCACAGAGCCCCTATTTGTCTTCTGTGAGCTACACTGTCATCCCTGTGATCCCACACACACCATATGCACCAATCATGATACCACACAATCCCATTCTCCCTCCCTCCCCATCTGCCTGCCCCACCCCTCCCCTTTGATAACCACTAGTCCCTTCTTGGAGTCTGTGAATCTACTGCTATTTTGTTTCTTTAGTTTGCTTTGTTGTTATACTCTAGAAATAATTTTTAATTAATCAAAACTGATATTTTACAATAGATTTAAAGGTTTCCATAGATTTTGAAATAATCCTATTTGGGTTTACTTTGCTGTTATTTAAAGACTTTGAGGTATCCAAAATTAGCCACTTTAATATATTAATTACCCATTTTAAGCTAATAATCAGCAGTTCAATTACTGTAAAGACATAAAGTTGTAATTAATATTACATGTTTAAGAAGAATAACTTTCTCAAAGTTTTTGGGAAAAAATTTTTTTTAGTGTTTCTGAATTTCTCTAATGCAGTCTATATACATAGTTATTCCAAGAGCAAAGTGCCTGTATTTATAGATAGATGTAAATATAGATACAGATCTTAATATCAAAAATATCCTTAAGACCTAGGGAATGTCTCACTTTTTTTTAGTGAAATATATCATTGATACACAATCTTATATTGGTTTCAAATGTACAACACAGTGGTTCAACAGTTACCCATGTTAAGTCCTCACCCCTTCTAGTGCAGTTACTATCTATCAACACAGAGAGATGTTACAGAATCATTGACTATATTCTCCATACTGTACTACTGTCCCTATGACTAACTTATATTGTGACTATGAATTGTGCCCCTTTATCCCCCTCCTCTTCTCCCTTCTCCCTCTCCCCGTTAGTAACCACTAGTCACTTTTCACTGTCTATGAGTATATTACTGTTTTGTTCCTTCTGTTTTGCTTTGTTTTTATATTCCACAAATAAGTGAAATCATACGGTATTTATCTTTCTCCACCTGGCTTACTTCACTAAGCATACTACCCTCTAGATCCATCCATGTTGTTGCAAATGGCAGGATTTGTTTGCTTTTTATTACTGAGTAATATTCCAATGTATATATGTATCACATGTTCTTTATCCGATTGATGGACATTTAGGTTGCCTCCATATCTTGGCTATTAAAAATAGTGTGCTGGTAAACATACGGATGCGTACATATTTTTGAATCAGAGATCTTTGTTTTCTTAGGGTAAATTCCTAGAAATGGAATTACTGGATTGAATGGTATTTGTTTTTAGTGTTTTGAGGAATCTCCACACTGTTTTTTACAGCAATGTCTTACTTTTTGAATAAAAAATTATATTGAATTCTAATATGCACAAAGATTCCAGACAAGCTTACAGAATTTGCCAAGCTTTAAAAATACCAATAAGTGGGGAGAAGTATTTTAATCCATTAGTATAACTGGTAGAATATAATACTGGCACATTAGGATACATAAATACTTACATATTGGAATACTTACGTAGTAGAATCTCTTTCCCGAGATAGTGTTGCCTCATATGAAGCTGACACAGCAGAAGGGGATCTAGGATACAGTCCATAACCTTCATTTGGAGTGATTATCTGCTTACCCAGAATTCTTCAAGATGAAGAGCAAAATAGACAATTATGCACCTTCACCTGGCATACATACAAAATGTAAATATTTTTGGAACAAATTTGATGGCTCTAAAATAGAAGTCTAGGCTAAGTCCACACTTGGTCTGATACCGATAATAGTCCTTGAGAGAAAATATGAATCCAGAGCCTTATCACAGGTATATATCTCTTCCATAGAATGTAGATAGAAAAGATAAAGTTATAGCCCTAGCCCCCCAAAACCCAAGGAAACTGAGCAAACTATTGCAATTTGCCCTCCATCTTCAATTATAATCTTCATTAAATCTGCCAAAATGAGTGAAAGCCAGGCCAAATTAGTGAAAATGAATTATATTCTTAAGAAAATGACACTTTACAGATTTTAAATATGGGTAGTAATTAATGCAATTTCTAAACTGCATAAACATAAGACATAAAGCCTATGTCCCTGCCTGCTACCAAGTATACATAAGAATTTACTTGTAGACAAGACTGTAAATAAATACATGTTCTGACCCTCTTGTTCAAAAGAAGTGCTCTTTAGACAGCCACAATATACAGATCTCAGCTACTTGTATAGAAATTACTCTATTTGACTGGGACAACATATACATATTAGTATTTATGAAAACTCTGAGAAACTTACATCAACTTGAGTTTTCTCTAGCTGAGGCTTTATACCACCTGGCCTTATTTACATTCTTCAGAATCATGCCCACAATGATGTAAGAATACATTGTTGGAGCTCTGCTTCTCAAATTTCAGTATTAGCCATGAATACACGTCAACTCTAGGGCTTCAGTACCTGAGGTGAGGAAAGCTACGTGTCCACTGTTGGCACTCTTCGTATAGACGCTCACTATGTACACTCAACTTCTGCTCATACAAGAGCTCGTCAATGGCTGTGAACATTGCCTGAACTTCTTCAGTGGCATTTTGATCAACTTCCTAGAAGAAAATACCATACCCAAATATTTAGGTGAACTTCAATCTCTGTTAAAATCATGACGGTTGAAAGCAACCAGATTTGTATTCAATATTTAGTCTATTTGGGAATCACGGGAAGATGGCGGCGTGAGTAGTTCAGAGGAAAACTCCTCCCCAAAACATATATATTTATGAAAATACAATAAACACACTATTCTTAAAGAGACACCAGTAGATGCAGTACAACAGCCAGGATACATCTACATTTGCAAGAACTCAGCATCACACAAAGGGGGTAAGATACAAGCCGTGGCCAGGCGGGACCCGAACGCTCCCCCACACCAGAACCCGACAGGAAAAAAGGAGTCGGAATGGGGAGGGAGTGAAAGCCCAGGACTGCTAAACAACCAGCTCTAGAAATCTGCACCCAGAATGCAGACACAAGGTGCACGGGATGCTGGATATTAGAGAAATGGAAAAGCAAAACCTGTGGGAAGGTCCCTGAAACGGGCGCCCCTGAGACAAAAGAAAAGCGAGTGCTTTCTGCAAGTCTTAAAGAGACAGGGGCCCCACAGCTGGACGAAGTTGTCGCGGCACACATAGCCAGCAGCTGGGAATCTCAGGGAAACCTAGGAGCCCTAAACCCCGGGGAGGCAGTGCAGCTGTGAAGCCCTTGACGGCACTAAGCAGCCTGCCAGTCATTCCTCAACTGGTGTGGAACCCGACACACCGGCCCAGTAGTGGAAGAGTGGCAGTGCGTGCCAAGGGCGACGGCACCGAAAGAGACCGAGAGCAGATCCATGTGCCAACGGCACCAGAGGAGACCAGAAGAGGCTTGTGTGATCCGGCAGCAGCACGACCGAACAGCCTGGGCGTGGCTTGCATGCACCAGTGGCAGGGGAGCCAGAGAGCATGGTAGAGGCCCGGGTGCACCTGCAGCAGAGCCAGAGGGAGCAGGCACGCTCCCAGCAGCCAACCGGAATCCCAGCCCAAGGCACAGCTGCCTGGGCCAGACCCAAAGGCCGCTGCTAGCAGAGCTGCCTGGCAGGGGTGCCGATAGCATGGAGGAGCGCACCTGGTGTACCTGCCACTCCCTGCAGAGCTCCGCGCTGCTCTGATGGACACCCCGCCCACAGCAGCTAAGGGGACTAAACTGGTGGCTGCTCCAGGAGTGCGGGTAACCGTGACAGGCAGCGGAGAAGGGCAAGGCATCCAGCAAGCAGGAAAGGACTTTCTTCTCCCAGCTGACACACCCGCAACCTGCCTACAGCCACTGCTATCACTATGAAAAGGCAAAAAAATCTGGTCCAGTCCAAGATACTCCAAACAACAACTGTAAAAGGATCTGCAGAGGCAGACCTAACCAGTCTCCCAGAAAAAGATTTCAAAATAAAAATCATAAACATGCTGACAGAGCTGCAGAGAAATATGGAAGAGCTAAGGGATGAAGTCCGGAGGGAGATTACAGACATCCGGAGGGAGACTACAGAAGTGAAACAAACTCTGGAAGGATTTATAAGCAGAATGGATAAGATGCAAGAGGCCATTGATGGAATAGAAACTGGAGAACAGGAATGCATAGCTGATGCAGAGAGAGATAAAAGGATCTCCAGGAATGAAACAATATTAAGAGAACTGTGTGACCAATCCAAAAGGAACAATACCTGCATTATAGGGGTGCCAGAGGAAGAAGAGAGAGAAAAAGGGATAGAAAGTGTCTTTGAAGAAATAATTGCTGAGAACTTCCCCCAAACTAGGGGAGGGAATAGTTGCTCAGACTACAGAGGCACACAGAACTCCCGAGAGATGGAACCCAAAGAGGACAACACCAAGCCACATAATAATTAAAATGGCAAAGATCAAGGATAAGGACAGAGTACTAAAGGCAGCCAGAGAGAGAAAAAAGGTCACCTCCAAAGGAAAACCCAACAGGCTATCATCAGACTTCTCAACAGAAACCTTACAGGCCAGAAGAGAATGGCATGATATATTTAATGCAATGAAACAGAAGGGCCTTGAACCAAGGATACTGTATCCAGAACAATTATCATTTAAATATGAAGGAGGGATTAAACAAATCCAAGACAAGCAAAAGTTGAGGGAATTTACTTCCCACAAACCACCTCTACAGGGTATCTTAGAGGGACTGCTCTAGATGGGAGCACTCCTAAAAAGAGCACAGAAAAAAACACCGAACATATGAATAATGGAGGAGGAGGAATAAGAAGGGAGAGAAATAATCATCAGACTGTGTTTATAATACCTCAATAAGCGAGATAAGTTAGACAGTAAGATACTAA